CGAGAGAAGATTCGGCGAGCACCCTTGTGCTGACAGCTCGCTCCATTGGTGAGTGATGTTGAGATCCCGTCGACAAGTCTGCATTAAGCAGGTGCTAAACCTATAGAGCTACTGCATGAAACTGGCTGCAACCAGCAGAAGCAATGGTAACACCTAATCGATAACAATTTAGTCTCAGGCAGTCACTATATATTTCCCCCCTCCAATGGTTGAGGCAAGGCTAAGGAGATTGATTAACAACCTGAAGCTGGCTAGTGAGTTATGAAAAAATAGAGGCGCACTATTGATCTACTAAGGTCGAGGTGCGGACCTTGTGATCGGCTCATTTATCCCAATCCCTATCCGTCGGGTCTGGGTGATTTTTGTGAAGTCAAGTTTCTTACCCCAGGCCGAAGACGGCGAAAAGCAGAAACAGTAACCATGTCATACGTGACTGCTTAGCATTATCCCGAAAAAGGTATTACCTTAAAACTAGTGGACTTTTCGCGGTTTGGAAATAAAGAAGGAACAATTCCACAATTTTCAGGTCTCAAACGAATAAAGGGTGACCTCGAAGAAGGATTTAAACTTGGAGAAAGGAATCTTTAAATTTTTATAATCGTTGCCATAAAATTACAAATACCAAATACGACGAAATTTGAAATGAAAACTCCCGTCAAATCAACAAGACAGGAAGAAACACGAGAACGGGGAAACGAAAATAGATAAGATAAAAATAAAATCAAAATTAAATCTTATACAATTTTTAGCTTTGTTAAAAGCCATTTATGATACTGTGATAAACACGTTACATAACTCGAGATGTTACCAAACAGCCATGACTAATAAATGATATCACTTGTTTTCATTTACTCTAACAACTGGAAGAATTAGATTTTGCCTTGTGCGATGTAAGTTGAGAGGAGATGGCTAAATATTGATCATCTCAAAGATTCAACACTTCAGCGAGCATGTTTAATCAGTATTTTAAGATAAAAACCATAAAATATTGTCCAACATGAGTCTAGTCACATTAGTATAACCGTCAAAAGATGTCGAGGCAACTGAGGAGGTCTCGGGACAATCGTGAATTGATTGAGTGAAGATGGCGTGAGGAGTAGGGTTAAGATGGGTCGAAAGATGAGAATGAAACTTGAAGAAACGTGTCTTTAAGGAAGATAATGGTTAGATCATTTTGAGGTTTGAGAGTAGTAAGGAGCTTGGAGCTTCGTTTAATTGGATAGTCAATAAAGAAGAAAGGTATTTGAAACCTACTGCCTTGATGCATCGGTGTAATTCCTTGTCTAGAAGCTGTCTAGAGGTCTCGAGCATCGTTTGAGGAGAGGTGTTGATTTCTCGAGATGGGTGCTAGTGAAAATTGAGCAGTGGGATGAGGATGGGTTGGGAGAATAGAGTGAAACTTGAAGAATAGTGTCTTTCAGAAAAGGAACGCTTAAGTCATTTTGAGTTTCGAGAGGAGGATCTCAGTTGACTTGGATAGTCAATAAAGAAGAGATCTAGAGAAGACTTACTGTCGGGAATGCAGAATTCCTTGTAGGGATGCCTCGATTACTTGATGTCTCATGGCCACTTTCGTTTAAGACGAGGTGAAGTGTTGAAGCAGTAAGGTTACGATTGTTTGCAAGATTGGAGCGATACTTAAGGAAGTGAGAACAGTTCAACTCTTTAACGAAGGGAGGTTAGGTTATTGCGAGGTTAGAAACGTAGTAAGCAGTCTGTTCTGAGGACGTTTGATTTGAATGCTTGGATCAGTTGGATATTACGTGGTGGGGTACTACCAAGACATGTAATATACTAGTGCTACTCCGTGTGTTTTTCTTGGATTCGAATTTTGTCTGTCAAAACAAATTTCGATCCTAACAGTCTTCCTAGTGGTCCATGTCTTCTGTTAAGTTGATGCCTCAAATCTTGTATGGGGATTCCATGTACGTATGACTGCGTATAGGCATAAGTATCTTGCTTGGGTGGAAGTAGGTTAGAGAGGTAATAAACAGCTAGGATCTCCACTGACTTGGATAGTCAACGAAGAAGTGATATTTGAGGTTAGAGAATGAGTATACTTGGAAAATTCTTCTCGAAATTAGATGAATTGGTGGTACTTTACAGCTACACTCCGTATATCTCGAATAGGTAGAGTGCTAGTTGGTTCTTTACAACTATGTATGATTTCTGTCCTCATCTTCTTTTATGTTCCGTCTCTTGAGCCTTGCAAGAAGATTCCACATCTGCGTGAGAATTGGTTTAATTTAAAACAATAATAAATGAAGATGAAAAAGCCTGGCCGTCTTACTCTATCCATGAACATGGTATTCGTAGAAGTCATAATCATCTAATCTCTTTCTACAAGCCATTTAATCGCACAATTATCATTTCTGTTTGATTGATAAGGCAAATGTTTGAATTGCTAACAGGATTTAATCTTCTTTGTTTGTTGATAAACATAAAAACAAATATTTGGAAATTGTCACATTCAATTAGGCATTGTCGACATGTTTACATTGGTTTACAATCAAGATCAAAGTAACATCTGCTCGACGGCCTGCTGCAAAACAATTCTCTTTTTTTAATTGAATATTTCCAAACATTTCTTGTTTGTCGGCTTGTGTGATGATTATGCGTTCCAAGGTTTCCACCTTGAATCATCCACTCAAGAGAAAAAAGAGTATATGGGCCAGGGTTTAGGACCCAGATGAAGAGGATGAAAGGAGACTAGGAGGTTTATGTTCCCAAGCACTGCAGCCTTCTGGCGTATTGTACTTTCCTAGTTTCTTAGTTCAGTGTTATCGACTCGATCCTTCTCCTAAGGATACTTGGTCAATGACTTACGATGCTGCAATTCAATACAACCTGTTTTTTCCCTTTTTTAAAAGAATATGATATGGGTGGCTGTTTCTCCCTCACCCCCTCCCCCATTGCATAACGTACAAATGAGGATCATCACTGATTGCCAAGTCAGATGTTTTCTCAGATGCCAGTGACCGGAAGTCCTATTTTTCCTTTGAGTTTAGCGTTCTCTAACTGTAGCAGTGGGTTTGCCAGCCTTGGTGAGGGTGGGTTTTGCGTAAGTTAACTGTATCCCTAGAGGTTATTCACTTCTCCTTATGTCTTTTTTTAATGCATTCTACGATGGAGGATTCTGTGTTTGTTTTTGTTATCCCAAGAATAGATTCAGGGCCTGTATTTGGTCTTACAGATCTTCCTCTGACGAGTATGTCTGCCATTTCATTATCCAAAATTACCTTGTGTCTGGTATCCGAGATATCATCAGGTTGTTGTGTTTCCCCAGGTTTTGAAGACATTGGCTGCATTGATTGAGTAGTTTTGATGCGATTTTTTTTACAAGCTAATGCTTTAAAAGCTGCTTGGCTATCCGATCTTATTAGGATTTTTTTTTGCCCCTGTGACCTCTTTTAAGACCGAAGTGAACTTTTCTAATGAGTTTGATCGTTCATGTTTTTTTGGGCTTGCACTAATTCCCAGAGGCATCTTTTAAAAAATCACATCTTACCCACCCTTTATTACCTTATACTCACCTCTGGATAGATATCAGACCATATAGGCTCCCGAAGAGAAGCATTCTTAGCCCCACCCTATATACCATTTGTACTGACTTTCACCATTTATACGGACGATTCTAGCTCGATCTCTCACTTTCTTTCTTTTTTCTTTTTTTTCTTTCTTTCTCGTTCACTCTCACTCTATCTCTTTCTCATGCCCCCTCACTCTCGACCTATCTATCTCTATCGTCTCTCTTTTTTCTACCCGTTTCCCATTTAACTTTTTTCTCACTCGCTTGCTCTTTCTTTCCCCACTCTCTATCAAACCACACCTCCCCTCTCTCTTTAACTCACTTTTTTTCTTGTTCGCTCTCTCTCTATCTCTATTTTTTCTCTCCCTTTCCCCTGTATGTGTCTTCTCGCTTGCTTCCTCTATCTCACCTCACCACTCCTCCAGTTCTCTCTGACTCTTCTTAACTTTCAAGTTCGCTCTCTTTCACCCTCTTTCTCCCTCACTCTCTCTTCCTCACTTTCTATCTCGCTCAATCTCTCACTCTCTTTATTTCTCGTTCGCTTTCGCTTACGAAGTCTCTCTCTCTCTCGCCTTTTTTCTCTTCCTTTCACCTTGTCTCTTTCTTTCTAGGACGATCTCTCACTCTCTTTCTTTCTCGTTCACTCTCTATCTCCTTCTCTATGTATCTATCTATCCGTTTCTCTCTCTCTCAATCTCTTTCGCCTCTCTTTTCTCTCCCCTTCCCCACTTCTTTCTTCTCGTTTCCTTGTTCTTTCTTTTCCCTTCTCTATCTCACCTCAACACCCCTCTCGTTCTCTTTAACTCACCTTCTCCGTCTTTCTTACTCACTTTCTCGTTCGCTCTCGTTCACCCTCTCTATCTATTTACCTCACCCCTCCCTTTCACCCTCTCTATCTCACCTCACCACTCCTCTCGTTCTCTCTAATTCTCTTTCTTTCTCGTTCCCTCTCGCCTTACGTTTTTCTCTCAATTTCACCCTCTCTCTTTCTTTCTAACTCTATCTCTCACGTTCTCGTTCGCTCTTTCCCCCCTCTCTCGCTCTCTCTTTCTTTCTCACCCTTTTCCCTTCTTTCTTTCTCGCTCGCTTCCTCTCTCTCTTTCCCCCTCTCATTTCACCTCACCACTCCTTTCTTTCTCTATAACTCACTTTCTTTCATGTTCTCTTTCTCTCTCTCATTCTCCCTCTCTTTTAATTTCTTTTTCGCTCCGCCTCACTCTCTTTCTCGTTCGCTCTCTCTCTTTCTCTCACGCCTCTCTTTTTCACGCCCTTTCCCCTCTCTCTTTCCTTCTCGCTCGGTGCTCACTCCTTCTCCGCCATCTTCAGTGAGGAACTTATTGTCAGATCGAACAGTTTACCGTGAAAAGTTTTGGGTTAAAAAATAAAATTTAAAGTGCGACGTCTTTTGTGGTAGTCGTCACTGCAAATCAAGTCAATTCTGGTAAACCGGAAAAAATCTCGTTTTACGTACCTTGCCTCTGGTCGACGATGGACCCCTCAAACAAAAGAATCGACGTCTGTCGCTCCCTTTCACCATCGTCCAACTTGGGCCATCAGTCGGATCGGCGTCCCGTTCTAAATAATGTTCGAACACTGGACGGAGACGAAGCTGTTGAGGAAGGAAAACATGACGGCTTGGAGCCGACGTCCGTGCGTCGGGCTGCCGCCGGGCGATCCTCGTCCGAACAACAAACAACAGCTGATCCTCAGGCTCCGTGCGGTGAGGGGCAGTCGTCCGATTTTCTACCGGTTCTTTTTCACGCGGGCCGGCGACGGTGACGGGCGGTGGGTCGCGATCCAGCCGCAGGAACACTTCGCGCAACTCAAATACGCCGATGCGAAACTTGAATGAAACGCGTTTACGCAATGAGGTTGTGATAAAATACTAAATGGTCAGGGATCGATCCGTTTGGGGGGTACGCGAACTACGGGTCGATTCGACGATCGATAACGACTCCTAGCACGATTGTGACGTCACGCGGGATATGACGTCACACTTTAACAAAGAATATAATAAATATTTATTTGGTCCTACATTACAAAACACATAAATTGTTTTATTCTATTTATCTCTATATAAGGCTATGAATAGAGCCCGAAATTATATGCAATCAAAAACTCTCAAATAATTATATGCACTAATAAAACCTCAAATAAGTGATATAATGTACACTAATAAATCTCAAATATGTACAATATAGCACACAAATAAAACATCAAATATGCAATGTTATATACACTAATAAAACTCAAATATGCAATATAATGTACACTAATAAAACTCAAATATGCAATATAGCATACTAATAAAACTCAAATATGCAATATAGCATACTAATAAAATCTCAAATATGCAATACAGCATACTAATAAAATCTCAAATATGCAATATATTATATGCAGTAATAAAACCTGAAATATGCAGTATATTATATGCACTAATAAAACCTCAAATAAGTGATATAACGTACGCTAATAAAATTCAAATATGTACAATATAGCACACAAATAAAACATCAAATATGCAATGTTATATACACTAATAAAACTCAAATATGGAATATAGCACACTAATAAAATTTTAAATATGCAATACAATATACACTAATAAAACTCAAATATGTACAATATAGCACACAAATAAAACATCAAATATGCCATATAATATGCACTAATTAAACCTCAAATATGCAATATGATATTAACTAATCAAACTCAAATATGATATAATATTCGCTAATAAAACTCAAATATGATATAATATTCGCTAATAAAACTCAAATATGCAGTATAGCACAAATAAATCTCAAATAAGCGATATAATATACACTTCTAAAACTCAAATATGCAATATAGCACACAAATAAAACTGAAATATGCAATATAGCACACTACTAAAATTTCAAATGTGCAATTTAATACGAACTAATAAAACTCAAATATGCAATATAGTATGCACTAATTTGGCTTTGGATTTATATAAGCTCAAATTTTGACATATGTTTACATACATACACATGTACAAAGGGTAGCCTATCGCTTTCTCAGTCCACCAGTAAGTCTAGCTTTGTAACTTTCAATAAATTGCCGGCAGGCGTTGAGAATCAACCAACCCAGGTGTTGGCAGTATGGTTGCAGACTTCAGTCTTATCCGTCCTACGACTGCGGTTGGGCTCCAGATGCAGTCAACTGCTAGGTCAAATCTGCACCCAACACTTGCAGCTCCTGGACAAAACTCACTCATATTCACATTTATTCTTAAATACATTCTATATGCACTAATAAAACATCAAATATGCAATATTTTGTATACCATAATAAAACCTGAAATACACAATATTCTATTACCACTAATAAAACCTCAAATATGCATTATAATATGTATTCATTTGGTTTTGAGTTATGTAAGCTCAAATCAGCACATGTGCCTACATATATATACACACACATGTACAGAATGGAGCCTACCACTTCCAGTCCACCATCAATTCTAGCTTTTATAGGTTGCAATAAATTGCCAGCAAGCCTCGAGAATCAACCAAACTGAGTGTTGGAAGTACCAGAGTCAAAGACTTTAGCACAATAGAAAGAATCAATAAATGCTAATCAAATTGGATTTATTAATTACACTGCAATAAACTTCTGTAATTTTACAGCACTTTTACTTTATGAAATGTGGCCAATTTGTGATTATTTGTCATCAACTAATTGATGCATTGCAGGTTGTCCAGAGATGTTTCGTGCTAATTTGGTCCAGGCTGTCTGGGGTATTTTGCATTATTCCTTATGATCTTTTCCATCAACTGACTGGACACTTTATTTCAAGGCTTTTTCTAATTAAAAAGTAAATAAAATATAGTAAGCTGTCTGTCAGTCAATCAAAGCAGAGGTGGGTTCCAGGTCATGAGTTTCAAGCAGCGAGGCAGCAGAAACAGGCCCTAATTTGTGGAATAAACAAGAACCACATTAAAGAACTGGAATCTTGGGTCACTAGGAACTGACAGTTGCGCTGGTCTACAATGGATATCACACAAACTGAAGATGGCAAAATGCTGACACACTGATGTACCAACCAGCAAGGATAGGCAGGACAAGGTAAGGATCAAATTACAGGTTTATCACTCAACAGGCTACAGGAGGAATTCACAAGACTTATAATAGTGAAGGCTGATATTAATTATACTGAAGATAAATTATTTTAACCTCATCAATTTTTTCCCACTTCTATGATAAAAAACATGCTTTGACTCCATTTATTTCTGCCGGTTGCATCCCCTTTGAATTAACAGGCAAAAATGCCTTAAAACTCTTTTAACTTTTTAGAATACTTGATAAATAAAAAATAAATGTAAATATGACATAAGCATCAAAAATGAATTTGCAGTATGCCTCAGATCTCCCATCATCCCATCCAGAGAGCATTCTAATTCACATGTTTCAATATGTTTATTGCAAAATTTTCAATGGAAAAAAAAATTCACTGTGAGATTACTCTTGGAGCCTGTGAACCTGTGGTTTGGTCATTTCTGATCAAAGAGTTTATTGTGAATAATGATTTTTTATAATTGTTTATTGTTTTTTATACTGATAAGAGTAATTACAAATACCAGTAACAAAAAGGTGCCCCCCCGGAGGACAAAATAGGGGGGGGAGGCAACTTACAACAGCCTGATGATGGACAGAGCCCCTAAATCCATTGCAGGTTTTGTGTAAATAAAGAATTTTATGAAAATAAGATTAAATAAAATACAAGATAAATAAAGATGTATAAAACTACTAAACATCTCATAACTGTTTTTGTTTCAGGCTGTTCGACTCAAGAGGTCAAACATTAGTATCCGATTCAGTTGAAGGGAGAAGATGAGTGTCAAACACTGATTTGCTTATGTTCTGCATTCCTTACTGAAATATTTCTTTCTTTCTTTAATCTATTCATTATTGTTTGTTGATTACTTGTTTAAAAAAAATATATGTAAGTTTCATTGCTGTAATTAAAACATTAAATAATTATTTTTAACAGAGTATAGTTTATTAGTGTCTTTTCTTTATATTAAGTATTGTTTATCGTTCTACTGCCTTTTCATGAGGAATATGTTGAGAAGGGATGACAAAGTCAACCCAATTGGTATATAAGGGAAATGAACAGTTTATTATCACCCATTTCACTTTCGTGATCTGGGGCCAGTCCTTGGTCTTATCTGTGCTGCCACCAAAGTTAGGCCCAGGGGCTTCAACAGCTAGATCAAATGCAGGTAGTTTTTAAACCTGGACGCACTCACACATTCTCTGACTCCAAATGTAACTCTCTGACTACTGACTCTCTCCCTCCCTCTCTCTCTCTCTCTCTCTCTCTTTTCCTATCTCACTCAGACTCAGAAACTGATTCTCACTCACTCTCTTACTGAAACTCTGACTGGCTGAGTCCCCTGTTAACTTACATAACCACTGAACTCAAACTCCAGACTCAGAACTGCATTGATGAACTCAGAACCATAAACTCTCCTGACAAATCTCTCTCTCTCTCTCTCTCTCTCTCTCTCTCTCTCTCTCTCTCTCTCTCGCTCTATCTCTCTCTCCCCCCAGTATCTCTCTCTTTCTTGTTCACTTGCTGTTTCTCTCCTTTTTTCTCTAGCGTCTTATCTCCAAAATCTCATGGCCTAAATATGCGAAGAAATTTCATTTAAAACGACTTAAAACAACATTTAGCAAGATGCATGGGGACAATTTATAAAATATAAAATGAAAAATCACGTTCCATGCCGTAATAGCATACTAATTTAAAAAAGTGAAATATTGTAAAAATTGTAAAAAGTAGAAATAATAAAAAAAGCATTATTATTATTGCGCAATTGAAGCCGGCTTTTACAGGATTCTGCCAAAGGATTCTCTCTGACAAAATTTGATTGTCTGACTTCCCCCTCTCTCTGACTCAGACTCTGATTCTCACTCACTCTCTGACTCCAACAATGACTGTCTGATTACTTCTCTCTCGCTCTCTGACCTCTCTCTCTCTCGTAATTTGATTGAGGCTCTGATTCACACTCACTCTTAGACTCCATCTCTGACTGTCTAACTGACCCCTCTCTCTCGCTCTCTGACTGACTGTGATTCTGATTCTCACTCACTCTGTTACTCCTAACTTTCTCTCCGTCTCTCTCTTTCTCTCTCACTCTTTCTATCTCTGACTCTGACTCGGAGGAAGGCTAATTCTTATTCACTATTTGACTCCCTCTCTCCCCCGTATCTCTTTCTCGTTCGCTTGCTCTTTCTCTTCACTTTTTCTCTCGCGTCTTATCTCCGGAATCTCGCGACCTAAATTTGCGAATAAACTTCATTTGAAACGACAAACGATGAATTGGGACAGTTTATAAAGTAGCAAATGAAAAATCACGTTATGAAAGCGATGTCTATAGATGTTGTGAAAGATTGCGCAATTGAAACCGGCTGTTACAGGATTCTGCCAAAGAAGGATTCAAGTTACAGAACCGGGTGAAATGTTATACACACATTCCTAAGTTATATGATTGTTAACATCAACAAAAAATCAATAAACACAAAATAACCAGTATTGCTGATTCTGCAATTGGGGGATTCAAGTTTTTGCATTTCTGTTATGTATATAAAAAAATCCACTGGTCAGAGATAACAGATTACAAATTAACATTTAAAACAATTTGAATTTTATTTAAAATTTACTTTTGACTTTATTTGGCAGTGTCATCTTGTGAAGAATTTTTTTTTTATTTTACTGCAATACAATGCATAATTACTTGGTGTCCGAGTGACTTATAAAATAGGTTCAATTTTTTGTATTTAGCGAGAAAAAACTACATATTAGATTTTCGCACCCCAAAAACCCCTGTATGCAAATTTTTTGGTTAAAAAATATATTCTTTCTCAAAGTTTTCGACTTTCAAGTGCCGAAGATTTTTTTCGATCACAAAAATGGTAATGACTGACTATACTGATCTAAATGGTTTCTGGAAAAAATTACTTGAGATAAATAAAAACGTTTGGGTTTTGTTTTATTGTGTTCATCAACAATAAACGTGTTTGTTTTGTTTTATTAATTATAATGAAATAAAACCAAACCTCATCAAATCAAAATCAAAAAGAAGATAAATTCAGCTTTCCAACGGTTGTAATGACATTGAATTTGGATTAAACCCGCGGAGTTAGGAATTTTTAACTGGGAACCTCCAGGAACATCTCTCCTCTTTGGAAAAATGGTCAGGATCGACAAAACCAGATTCCAGGAAATAACCTTCACCATTACTCCTATAATCTGTCCTCCAATCTACTGCAACTAAGCCCTTTTCCAGCAACCAATACCATGTTTGAGACTTGAAATCGACAAAAGATTTATTTGGAATCCACAAACTGATAAGAGTTTCTCCGGGATAGAGTACTCCTCGAATATTCGACGATAGCCGAAATGTCAGCAAAACCAGACCCCAGTGGCCTTCAGAAACCTCCAGGAGAATCTTCCCTCTTTGAAATAATGGTCAGATTCGACAAAACAAGATCCCAAGAAATAAGTTCATCCTCCGAAGGATCACCTGTCCTCCAGTCGGCTACAACTCAATCCTCTCCAAGCAATAAATGTCACCACCTATTTGTGACGTACTTGGAAGTTGGTACTCCTATACTCGACTCAAAGTTTGACCATAGGTTGAAACTTTAACTGCAATACAAGCTCATCTACACATGACTACAACCACGAAATTCTGGACTGAATTGAACTGTGGGGTTCGAATAAGCGTCCAACCTCCAAAGAATCCAGTCGCTTCAGCCAACAAACCATTGCCCAGCATCCGACTTCGTATCCAATCATTTGCCCAGATCTTCAAATCCTATTCGTAGTATCGGTGGACGAATCACCTGTCCTCCAAACTGCTATAACTCTGGTCCAATGCCTTACTTGGAATTCCACCTATCCACTCTAAAGAACTGATATAACCTAATCAAAATACTTGAGTACAGATTGAAACATTAACTGCAAAACGAACTCATCTACAAATCATTACATTACAACCAATCCGTACGAAATCTAACTGTGCGTTTTAACCGAACCTTCCAACTTCCAAAGAGTAAAGTCACACCGGAACCTTTGGAACCATTGTCCAAGCTTCCTACTTTATATTTAACCTTACTATAAAACATAGTAACAATACCACAACACAGACCTCCAAATCCCATTGATACAGATAAAACCCTAAAGAATATTGAAAGAGTGCGAGAAATTTTCACCTCACAAAATATGGTAAGGTGAAGGTGATGAACTTTGAAATTTGAAATGAATAAAGTTTGATTAGAAATTAAAAAAGATTACTTTGCAATTTAAAGGGTTGATTGGTAATTAAAAAGAAAGATTACTGAAGTTAAAAACGGTTGAGTTCAAATTAAAAAGGTTACTTCGAAGTTAAATAGGTTTACTTTTGAAGTTAAAAGGGTTAAATAGAAGTTATAAAGCGTTGATTTGAAATTATAAAAAAGTTAATTTGTAGTTGAATAGAGATGATATGAAATTAAAAAGATTACTTTGAGGTCAGAAATAGACGATTTGAAATGAAAAGAATATTGCTATGAAATTAAAAAGGTTTTTATCTTAAATTAAAAAAAGAAGATAACTTACTTTGTAGCTTAAAGGGTTGATTTGAAGTTAAAAAAGGTTACTTTGATGTTAAGAAGAGATGATTTGAAATTAAAAAGTTTTCTTCGAAGTCCAAAGGGTTTATTTTTGCAGTTGAAAGGTCCAACAGCGTTGATTTGAAATTACAAACATGATAAATTGAAGTTAAAATGAGTTGATATAAAATTAAAAATATTTCCTTGAAGTTAGAAAGGAATGATTTGAAATGAAAAAAATATTGCTATGAAATTAAAAAGGTTTTTATCTTAAATTAAAAAAAGAAGATAACTTACTTTGTAGCTTAAAGGGTTGATTTGAATTTGGGAAAAGTTAATTTAATATTAAAAACATTCTTTGAGATTAAAAAGGGTTGATTAAAAAGATTGATTTGAAAGTAAAAAAAAAGATTACTCTAAAGTTTAAAGGGGTTAATATGAAAATAAGAAATTAAAAATGGTTAATCCATAGTTTAATTGATTTATTTGGCGAATATAGTTTCAATTAACGTACATTTTTATGCAATTAGTTGCAACTTTGCAATTGCAATTTTTTATTTATGTTACTTTCATTTGTATAGCTTATTTAATTTTTGCTCTATGTACATATATTTTATTACAATCCACCTCTCTTAATTGGTTATAACAGTGTAATTATAAATAAATAACGGGATGTTTTAATTTGTTTGTATTCTCCATTTACCCAACTATGGTTCTATGGTAAGGCGGTGGGCTTGGAGTGATTGAAATGTTCGAACAGGATGGACGTTTGCAGAGAGGATTCTTGTATCGTCAGGTAAGGTAAGAATGAGTGTGTTAGAGTCACAGGAAGTCTGACGTGTATATGCTGAATAATAAAGGACCTAGGATGCTCCCTTGAGGTACACCAGAAAGGTTAGGGTCAAGGTAACATAGAAGAAACGATCAGATAGAAAAGAGTTTCAGCATTAAACCCTAGTGTCGCGATAGAAGATATCTAAAAAGAATCCAGGGCAGAACGATAAGCTCTAGGGATGCTGCGATGAAGTCTTTGGTTATAGTATGGTTTTGTAGGATTTCTTGCTCTTAGTATACGTGTGAGGATTAAATTTAGCCTTGAGTGACTCTTTCTTTGGTTTTAACTCCCGTCCTGGTCTAGGTCATGCAATATAAAAATAAAAACAATCGGATATAGAGATAACAATATATTTTTTTCTCAACAAATCATAACAATTTTCATGAGGAATAACAGTTATAAAAAAGAGTACATGTAACGATATACTTGATTACAATAAGAAGGTACTCAGTTCGTTGTGAGCAAAAGCCTGCTTTGTACAGGCGCATCCATTGCTATCTCCAAATATAAGTACATTTTTTTATATTTTAGTAATACACGATACAGTCTCACTTCTTGTTATGTTTAAAAAATTGGTCTATACACTAAAATAAGCAACATTGTACAACTAACTGGATGTTTATGAAACAGACGAGGAAACATAAACGTATGTTTTTCTCATAAATTGAAAATAAATACTGTGCTGTCTCTAATTAAAATAATAATAATAATAAATAGCAGGATTCGTTCCCAAGGGCGCTCCGGTTTTTCAATCGGCGTTAGAAAAAGAAAAAAGTAAAAAATTTAAAAAAATTCAACGCTCTCAGTATTCGTACTCCTCGCTTGACTGTTGGTAATTCCTGTGGGGTTGACTTTGAGGGATTGGCCTCCTGTGCTGGAGCGGGATGTTGACCTCTTCGGGCGAGTGGAAGACCTGGTTCGGTTGTCTGAGCTGCGGCTGTTGCGGTCTGCCCTGTTGGAAATGCTGCTGCGGCCTCGGCTGCAATTGCTGCGGCCTGGGGGTCGCCTGGACGACATGCTGCGGTGCGCCGTGATCATCTTCGTAGAAGTTTTCCGGGTAGTATCTGTCTGAGTAGCGGATCGTCACGTTCGGCTTGGTCAACGCTTCTTCAGCGTTCAACGGTTTGTAGAGGAAATCGTTGACGAAATGGTACTGCGACGACTGGGTGCAGATGTTGTCGTGGCTCGGCGGCATGCATATAAGATGTACCTAAAATCAGAAAATAATGCAATTAAATATATATTCCTCCTGAGGTTTTATTACACCTATAAAACATTGACACTATGACATCGCAGGGGAAACAAGTTGCTGGGAATCGCTATGAGGGATAACGAGAGATGAGGTTTGAGAAGTAGGACAAGAATTGGCCGAAGCATGATATGGGACTTAAGAATTCAGTTTGACAAAAGAAAGGTTGTGGTCATGAGGTTAGTGATGTAGTAAGGAGCTTTGACTATTTGAGGACCTCAGGAGTCATTGGATGGCTTGGCGGAACACCACAGTTTTACGCCATTTATCCAGAGGGTCGCAAGTTAGTTCAATTTTGACAGTTCTAGATGTCTTCTGTTAAGCTGTCTCTTAAGTCTTGTGTAGGGATTCCATCTGCAGTATAGGTGTCTTTTCATGTAGCCTATCGGTTGGATCGAAAGGTTGGAGTGGAACTTTTAAAAGATTAGTTCAGTTCTTCAGTAAAAGGGATCTTGAGGTCTTTCTTAGGTTAGTACGTAGTAAGGATCATTGACAATTTGTCTGAGGGCTTTTAATTAGAAGGATTGGATGCGCTGGAAAATAGTCCAAATTGTACGCAGTAATGTCTTGTATTCAATTAGTTGGGTTTTGTCGGTCAAAGCCTTCATAGTGGCCCAAGTTTTCTGTTGAGTTGTTGTACTAAGGTCAGATATGTTTGAGGATTCCATTTCAGTCTGCTGTGTAAGTAATGCTTCGAGAAAAAGCCTTAGCTGTTGTTGATGTAAATGGATGGCAAGCCATGACTGTCCTCCACTTTTTGTACCAGTAGATAAATCCATGTTGGAGGTTGCAAGATCCGCGTAGATTGAAATAATATATAACTTATATAAGTTAGCAGTATACACGGTATAAAGTACGGGACCAAGAATGCTTCCTTGTGGGACGCCGAGGAGTGATCCGTAATAAGGGTGGTTAGAAACTTTCAAGTTTATTAAAGATGAATGGATGCTAGACAATGCTTTAGAAAAGAGGAAATGCGACTCTGCATTCTTGCTGAAACTTTATGATTTGGACGGAAGCTGACTCAGTGAGAAAATTATGGAAATTATATGAAAATTTTGGAACATGAAATGGGTTCGAATATGAAGGAGTCTTTTGAGTACTTTTGCCAACGCAGAATGAAGGTTGATGGGTTTGTAGGATATGTGGTTGGGAGGTTTGTGACCTTTAAGAATGAGACTGAATGCTTTCATAATAGAGGGTGAGTCATCATGGGATAGCATTATTTTGGTTAAAAATATTGTTTTGAGGAAGATTAGGTGGTATGATGGCTATTGGGATGTATAAGTCAGCAGTATAAAAGGTGGGGGCCAAGGATCTCCCTTGTGGGACGTCAAGGATTGATCCTATACCTGAGTACTCGCCGCACCTCGCTCTCAAGCAGATGTAAGCTAAATAAGATTCACGAGTAAGGTAAGTTTATAAAAGACGACTGGGTTCCAGACCCTTTTGTCTTCAGAAAAGAGGAAATGGTTTCAACTTTGAAACTTTGCTGGATTGTATGATTTGGACCGAAGCTGAATAAATGAGAAGGAATGACTCTAAAGCAGAAGTCAGCTAAATAAGATACAAGGATAAGGTTATAAGGGATGGGTTAGAAGCGTTCAAGTTTATAAAGGATTAGATGCAAGACAATTTCAAAAGCATGGGTTACAACCAAGAATACACACAAACTCTTTCTTCTCTAGAGGAATGAAAATGGTATCAACGATTTTGATAATTGTTGGATCTGCAATTATGGAGGACGGAAGTTATTGGTTAAAAAAATGATCCTATGTGATTATATGGGTATTTTGAAGATTTTGGAAATCACTGCAAGTAAGCTGATGTATGTGGATATGTGGCTGTGAGGTATGTGACCTTTGGGAATGGCTGAAAACTTAAAAAAGTGAGTAAGTATGGCTTGGGTGGTTAAATATGCAATTCTGAGGAAGGTTTCGATGTATAATGGAGTTAATTTATTCATGTCCAGGTGATTTTCTACTAGTAGGTCTTAACTTCAGAAGGATGGTTCAATGAAATGAACTGTTCGACAGAACTTTTAATTATATTACTTTTTCGTTTCATGTTTTCAGTGTTTTTAAGAAAGGGGTTGATAGTTTATGAGCAAACAGGAATCGGCAGTTTAAAGCAACACAATAAAGACTCATAACGTACGTCTCGGTAGAACAATCAAGCTACGGAATGAAGCAGAGTATTTACGGATCAAACCGAGCTCGAGATTCACGCCTGTCGGTCATGCTTTTGGCCTAATCAATCGCTCCACTAACTCAAGCCTTTTTTAAACAATTGAAACGAGGAATGTTGCATAAGTATTTTATATCTACAGAAGTATAAGTTTTATCGACCTTCTACCCATGTAACTTCAAGAAATACAAAAACGTTATCACTTAGAATGAGATAGCGGGCTGATGCTGATGAAAGCTTGGTTACTAAAGGGTGATGACCATTGAGTACCATTTTACTATAGCGGGATATTATGAGCTTGGGGAGGGTAAGTTCATGGTGAAGAGTAATATTGGATAGATAGGAAGGAACGTTTTCGATACTGCGGAGGGTTTTGGACTGGAAGGATTGGAATCTATAGGATTTGGTAGTTTTGGATGTCCATGCCGGTTTGAGTAGTATGTTATAGAGAAAAGGATTGCTCGCTGCAGTGGGACGAAGTGGCATTTGCGTTGTTTATCCCCCAATTTTTTTGAGCGTCGCTCAAGGGCGGTAATTTTAGAGCGGACAGGATTTCAGTATCGTCTACAAATGTGAAGGGGAGGTATTAGGATGGTTAAGGGTGTCAGAATATATTGAGTGAAGAATAGGACCAAAGATACTTCCATGGGGGAGTCTAGCCGGGAAAAGTTTGGTGAGTGAGTATAAGAACCTAACGTTGCCCAGAAACAACAGTCGACAAGATAGGATTTAAAGAAGATGTAAAAGGTAGTTGGGAGTGGATATTGCTGTATCGTCATATATGAACAGGGAAGTATTGAAACGATTAAGGATATAAGCAGTATCCTTTGAATAAAAGATAGGACAAAGGATACTCCTGGATACTAGGTGGCTGAGTGGGAAGAACCGTACATTTGCTCAGAAGAAAGGTCTGCAAGAGGATTAAGACAGGATATCAGCAGTGTAAAGAGTAAAGGAGTACCTTTACTAAGGCTAAAGTAGTCCTTGGGAGACTCCAGTTTGGAAAGGATGAATGGATGGGTGGGTAAAACAGAACGTTGTTCATAATCAACTAGGACAAGTTGGTTGTGGGTGAGTTGGAAGAACCGAAGAACTGTTCGTTATCCAGAAGCAAGGTCGGCAAGGTAATACTAGGACAGGATGTGAGCAGTATATGTTAAGTTAAAGATGGGATTAAGGATTCTACCTGAAGGACTCCAGCTCGGAATGGATGGATGACTGACTTGGAAGAACCGTACGTTTCCCAGAATAAGAATTTTAGAGCAATGTAGTTTGAAGATGTAGTAGATGTAGGTTATTGCAAACATGCCTTTGAACTTACCCAGCATCATATCGAATGGTTACACAATGTCGAGTAAAACAGCTGGAGGAGTCTTTAATGAAGGAGATAACGATTTTTCTCATCAAGAGAAAAAAGAAGGATACGTTTTTCAGTAGTTTATTGGGTTTCTGGATCATTGTAGTTGAGGTAAATTTCCTTATGGTTGTGATCTACGTGGTTCTCAGATCTTTAGGTAAAGTAGTCAAGTGCACATTGAGGAAATTGGCAGAAGGATTTTCCTGCGATAAAGGCATAACCGGGGAGATGTTTTATATAAAAATTTGTTTGAGACAAAGTATCTTACACTGAAAGTATTAAGGTAAAAGGCAAAATTGAACATACACAAAGGAAACGACGAAAAGCATATGTCTATAATAATGCTGACTTTCTTTTCGGTTTTAATATTAAATATATCATAAGATTTTTGTGTACCTGGTGAAACAAGAATCCTTCCGGGCAGATCCAGGAATGCCTAGCGTTGTCTTGGCAATAGTGGAAGACTTCGCACTGCAGGCCCTCGTCGGCGTAGTAGCCCGTGTTCTTCCCTTGGCAGTTGAATTTCGATTGAGGGAGAAGCATCGTCAACCTATCAGGCTCTTCTTTCTCCTCTTCTTCTAATTCCTCTTCCTGTGAAAAGAGACGAATACTATTTTTACTTTTCTGACTATTTTTTAGGCTGAATTAATATCAAGTTAATAGTGAACGGCTATACATCAATCGTAAACTGTTGCGTCATATTATTAGCAGTTGTTAGATAATGTTGTTTACTACATTTGGTTGTTATATGATTTCGCGTTTATTGGTCAGGTATTTTATTCTATAGCGCTAAACAATATCATAGGGGCGGTGGCCGTACGTGTAGCTTTATGTAATTTGAAGAAGAAGAAAGAAAGAAAGTTTGTTAAACAGTGAACATAACTTTTTACAGGCTTTAGCTGTCTGAAGGGCACATTATATGAATTCTTCTTAAAAAGTTAAATAAATAAAAATAATCTCAAACATGAAACTACCTAAGAGGAATATTAAATTAAAATAAAATAAACTCCTCCAAGACAGAAAATATTAACCAAATCAAAAGTAAATCCGCTATGTCCAGGCAGCAATTTTGGTATGTTTTTCCAGCTTCGGCTTTCTCAAGAGTCAACAGTGTTATCTCCAGCGCGGCTTTTACTCGGATGACCGCCATGATCTTACTTGATTCATCAAGGCTCAAGGAAGATTCCGCTGCCAAACGTTTCTTCAGAACTGATTCTGCTCTTTTACTATTTCCTCTGAATCGTTTGTCAAGTGCATTCATGATTTTCGACTTGGCAAGATTGACAATCTTCATTTTTTATTGTATTGCTGAAGAAATGTTTATTTGCTCTTCTGGTTTCCGGAGGCCAACCATGAAGGAACATGGTTGGCAAGGCAACAAGGCACAATACATAATTTTTAGCTGGCATGTTTTCGAATTTCCCCATAGAATTTTGACAAATCAACATTCTTTTGGTTGACAACGACTTTAGACAACTCCTCGTACATGACAGTGCAAAGAACTGGATATTCAAAATAAAAATTCGGATAAAAACCGCTGAACTTGCCCAGCGGATTATATAAACAGCACCTACCGAAGGTTGCCCCCAAGGAAGAGTACTATCACTACTTCTATTTCTGCTAATATTAAATGACTTAATAACAGAACTTAGGACATCGATTACGCAGAAGACTTAGTAAAGGCCCTAAAGATTGCAGAAAGTTAGTCTAGAAGGTTTTAAATGCCAACCCTAAGAAAACATCACTTACACCTTTCAGAAGAAGAAGGAAACTAAACTTAAAACCATTCTAAAAATGAACCTTCACCAAATAAACCACGTACTAGGTACAGCCCTTAACCAATGGCTCAAAGGGAGGAGTCATATAGGCAGCATACAACCTAAGGCCGTGGTTACACCACAATGGTCAGACCGTAGCCACATATCGAGGTTTAGTGAAGGCCAAACACAAACTGCAAATTCTACAAAAACCAGAGTTATTAACCTATCAAAGACGATGTATACTTGTCTTACAATGGTAACGTAAGCCTACTAAGAAACAAATTTAGATCTAAGGAAAAACTATTAAACAAAATCAGGAGATAATTAAAATAAATGAGATGGCAATGGCAATAACTGACAAAATGAAATTTAACTTTGACTGACCATTCCAAGTGGTTGTTCGTTTTGGAAGAAAGGCAATCCCCAAATTTCGGGAATGTATCTAGCGTGGCACACTAACAGATCAAGATGGAACAGCGAGTAGGTTTAGGGGTAAATGGGTTGAATTAAAACCGTAGCAAAACCCCTGTAAACTGGATCGAACTATCTTCCAAGCTGAGGTCCTTGCAATCCTGAGGACTGTGACAGTGCGAAGACTCTGTGCAAAAGATTTGAGCAAGAAGAATATGAATTTTCGGACAATCCGACTGTTATAAAATAAATGTGTTTTAGTTCCAAAATAGTCTGGGAATGGACTTAGGGAAACACAAGGTTACCTTGAGATCTTGAGATAAAAGGAAACAGGCTGACGAGTCAAAGAAGGGCACGCATGGTATGGACTTAATCAGAGGGAGTCCACAATAAACCTAGGTCGCATTGGAAAAAGTGTTGCAGTACGGGTTAAATAATATTACCTCTGTCTTGACAATTCTTGTGGTAATAATGAACAGAGCGAATAGGGTGGGACATAGTAGGCAACCTTGAGTATTCCGCAGGCAAAGTTAAACCGTTAGCCCTAAGCCGGTCCAAATCAAAGCTATCAGCTCAGAATATAACTGTCTTATAATTCACAAATTTTTAGGAAATTCCGGCTTGTTTTATTACTACCAACGTTTCGGATGCTGATTTTTAAATCACAATAACTCCTTGGCTAATCACATATAGGATTTTTAAATTATCTTTTGTAACCCCAGAGTGTTGAAAGTGTGATTCATACTGTTCAGTTTTTAAAGAATTAGCCGTGGGCTGAGCGTTTATTACAGCCAGATTTCAAACAGGGTGAGTTATCGGTAATCGATTATTCCTATCAACTAAGTGAAAGTGAAACTGCACCTTTTTTTTTCAAAAGTCGCTGGGCTCTTTTTGTTTTTAATGGCGAATATTATGTTCCACACCCGTCACCGCAGAGAAAGTAAAACTGGAATCCAAGTGCTCCATAAAATTTCCGAAGAAATCAATTATCAATGTGACCGAATATATTTTTATATGTGAGTTATTTCTTTAAACCCAGAAACAAATTATTGTAGTTATGTATAATTTATAAAACAACGAGATGACAAATTTATATATTTTTTATTTGTTTATTTATACCTGCGTGTGTTTGATTTTGATATTCAGTTGGTAATGACGGGTAATAACACTGGGGGAAATCTGTTCAACTGACTAGTACTAGCTAATACTAATAGGAAGGAACGTTTCAATCGTCGGAGAAGTTTATCCGGAATAGAAGGATCCGGATGAAAGGTTTCTGACATCGGAGTTGTGTCAGAGGATAATTTGTGAAACTTCTTGTACAAGATTTTGAGCTACTTTAAGAAAGAACACATTGGATAATATGGTCTTTTGTTAGTTAGTTTGGATGGATTGGACAGTTGGCGGTTGGTTAGTTTGTTTTAACCTCAAAGTTTGATGACCATGCTCAATTGATCTCCTAATGTTGATATTGATCGTTTGTCCAGAAAAGTTGTAAGTTGTTTTTGACTTTTGAATCGCGTGGGTCCACGTCGCTTGTACATGTATAGTTCAAGTTAGCTGGTGGGAGAGCGTACCACAAGGTAGGATGGACATTCTTCGATGCTTTTTTGGTTTATTTTCTTTTTCCACCGTTTGAAACACTGCTCAAAGAGTTTTTGACTTGCAGTTTCTTTATATGAGCAAAGAGTCGGTGTCATCCAATTAGCTGGTAAGAATAGTTTCGGAAAGTGCGGTGTATACTCTTTATGATAATGATGATAGATACTAGGAAGTAAGGGTTCCCCCCCCAGGCACTGCAGCCTTCTGGCTTATCCTTCCTTGTTCTCTAATTCAGCGCAATTGACTTGTTCCTTCTCCTAAGAAGTACTTTTCTTTCTATCCAAGGTTAAGTCTCCATTGAGCGGTTGCTTCGCATTTGAAGATAATTTGGGTGGCTGTTTCTTCCTCCAATTGCATCATCTCCAAATGGGATCATAACTGAAAATGCCCATGTTGTGCAGTTTTCTCACATACCAGTGACCGGTTACTAGTCCTATCACACCTTTGAGTTTGACGCTCTCTAACTGCAGCAGTGAGTTTGCCAGTCTTGGTAGGGTGTTTTAGAAGAAGTTTACTGTGTCTAGCGCCTCTAGAGTATACTGTGTATGATATGGGTCGTAAGGTACATCCTTGGGGTACTTCTTCAGCCAATAAAGTGGGCTCATTAATTAGAAAGTATATTTCCGTTAGGGTTTTAGATCTGGTTGTAGGTAAACACTTCGAGAGCCGCTTCGAGTTTCATAAGCGGAAGAAGCTTCACACCTAGAATTAGACCTAAAAAAATCCTTCTGTTTACATTTTATGAAAATGATCAAAAGTCATGAAAAGTTCGATTGAGAGATTGGCCCTTGGGACTTGACGAGTCTTAAGTACGGGGTCAGTCACCTCGCCGAGTTTCCTTTCGCGAGAAGTTTCGATTTTGTGAACAAACTCGCCGGTATTTTAACAAATTGATTTTTTCTTTCCGGATTACTTAACGGACCGGGTTTGATGCACCTCAGGGGGCCGTTATGCAACCGGCTTCAGCTGAACGGGTTACGTCTTGTCCAGAAGTGATCGATCCACATCAATTTAAGCACACTAAAAGCTAAACCGATATAATCGAAAGTGAAATTGAAAATGGGTTCATGTATGATTTATATATATTCACTATACGCGCTGACGCTGAAGGAATGACGCACTAAATAAACAAATTCGGATAAAAACTCGAAACTTAAGAATGCGTTTATCTATCAGATTCCAAAACCCTAATCGGAAGATACTTTCAATAAATGGCTCTCTGCAGGTGTACCACAAGAATGTATCTTAAGACCCATACTATACACCGTAGACTTTCTTAAACTAACCGTAACACCTGTTTGGATAATATTGCCATAACCTGCAAACCCAAGACCTCTTCAGCAGTGTTTCATATGATAATACACATAAAAAAGATCGTAGAATAACCATCCATCTACCACAGTACGATTCCCACAAGGTTAGCTACCTTTATGACTTAACGGTGCTGTTTTATTACGCAAGAAGTACTCGTTTTGTGTTCTCTTTGAGTAAATGTATTTATTAACGTGAATGATATGGTTATATTTAGTACCCCATCGCCCTCTATTAGATCAGTTATTCGGCAAGTTTAAAGTTGGTAGAAGAATATAAACTATTCCTCCAATCTACTTGCGTGAATGTGTTCACAAATGAATGAGAGTTTGAGTGTGTACAGATTTAAGCGATTAAATTAGTTAGGAGTTGAAATGACCTAGCTGTTGACAATCACTGACAACACCCTACAATTCTCACCAACCTTTCTACAAAAAGGTATCTATACATATCTGAATACAGTTCCTTGGGATGTATCTAAACAAGCGACTGACCTCACACGAACATGAATTAAAGGCTATTAGACAACTCAGCAGTGAAACCAATATGACCAATAGGACCATGGGGTTGAACCAAACCATCCTATTTCAGCAGAATCAACGACAACTCGTCGTCCGAAGAGACAGTGGCCTGACCTCTCCTCAGAGAGTGATAAAAGCTTCGCTCAAAAAAAGAATCCTCGCTGGCCATATCATCTGATAACACTAGTTCACCGTCCAAAACTTAAACTAATTGATAATACGTGGATTATAAATGGATTAACTCACCTTGAGGTTCTTTTTTCCTGGAGGCCACTTTCCTTGGAGGCCATACTCCTGGGGCCGGCCGCGCGGCACGTTCTCCTGAGGCCTGTACTGCACCTGCTGAAAAGTTGCACAATGACAATAAAAGTTCAATTGTGAAACTGAAAAGCTGACAGGCTTTAGAGCGAGCCGGTCAGGCTGTTACGTTAACACTGGATGGAAACTGGTTTTTCATAATCCCGATCCTTCCTATAAACCGTTTGGCAGCGGATCCACCTTACATTCTCCGCCGATTACGATTTCACAACTATTTCATTACGTTGAACGCGGTTTTCCGCTTTATATTTCCTATTGAGGGGGAAAAGCTTTAGAACGAATAAGCTTTCAGCAAGTCTATATTATTTGTATAAATTTCCTTTTTTTACTCCTGACAGAATCACTTATCACGGCCGAATGCAAGGAAGGTGCACCTTGAGCAGAAGGAGAAAGTTGTGTAAAAGTGAATAAAAAATTTTAAAATTGGCTTCGTGTTTTTAATTAACCTGTACTTATTTATTTATTTTTTAAAATGTTATTGGGGAAAGTTATGAAATAGTACTTAAAATGTAAGTCCTCCATCATCAGGTATTGATCATCAACTGTTATAAGTCCGAAAATACAACTTTTAACCTTTTGGTACAAAGTCAATTTTTGCTATAATGCTTTTTCTTATCCCTTTTACTGTCTTGGCATAATATACTGTGACACGAGAAGGAAAAAAGGATAAGTTTCTACAAAACTCCAGTTTTGCCCCCGAAAGTGGAGAATCCTTAATGACAAAGACCTGTAAATCGTTGTGTATACTATGATTTATTCCTATTTTTTAAATGTAATAATTATTAAGAAATGTATTAAATTTTATTATAGAAATACGATATATTGAATGCAACTGAAATTGGCCAAGTTTGCAAAGGTTGCAGTTCTCTCGTCGAATTATAAATCGATTGATAATTTATTTATTTTGTTTAATTACATATGACAAGTTAATGAATTATTGGATACAATCCATTAATGTGCTATATTACTTTGGCTACTTCATTATTTGCAGTTGGACATTTATCGTAATTACTTGAATTCCCAAGCCTCAGGCTATATGAACTTAAAGCCCTTCTAATTATTTCATTTTTACTCTATGTTCGGAGTTTTTGATCTTTAATATAATTTTTATGTAACGTTTCTCGCATCAAATTATCCCTTTATAATTTTAAATTTACCGTTTTTAACTTCAAATTAGCCCTTTTTAATTTCAAATTATACCTATATAAGTAGAAATAAAATATTGTTAACTTAAAATTACTCTTTCAATTTCATACTAACGCGTTCTTTAAAACCAAAAAAAGTTAGGAAAGGGAATAAAATCTAAGCACGTACAATAAAAAAAATTGGATAGAAAATAATAAGGTTCGTAGAAGAACATACGAAAATAATTGAAATTCATATTATAAAAACATAAAATTAAATATAAAAAGTAGTAGAGTAGGAAGTAGAGGTAGGAGTAAAGTAGAGTAGGAACCATCTTTTTAAAAAGGATTGAACTCCACACTCACCCCATCATTTATAATTTGTGTAAAAAGAAATGTTTGTTATGCTAATTTGAAATATATTTATATATTTCAGTAAAGTTACGACATTTTTTAACCATTATATAAAAGAAGAATTGATTATTTTATATTTAATTTTACATAATTTTAAATTTTAATTGTAGTTAATTTTTATATGGGTTTTCAAATGCAAATAGTTTTATACGTAAAAAAAATATACTAGTTTAAAGTACTAGTGGAAAAATGGCAAAATAGAGGGAAAATTCGAACGGTTGTAGGTTGAAATGGGAAGTTGGTGTCCGAGTAGATCGAAGTCATGATAGCTCAAGTGGTAGAACAGCGGCGTATCTAGCCGAAGATCGTGGGTTCGAATCCCGCTCGTGCCATTGACTTTTTATCTCAACTAAAAGCCTTAACTAATTGTACTGGTTAAAATGTTAAAAATAGTTAATTTGGTCTGAAAAAGAGTTGTTTATATTAAAAGGAGTTAATTTGTCAGAAAAAATATATAATTGGGCATTAGACGACCGTACAAAAATTAACTACAATTGAAATTAAGAATTATATAAAATTAAATATAAAAATAAATTCTTATTCATTTTCAGTAACGTAACGACATTTTTTAACCATTATGAAAAAAAAAGAATAATTTATTTTCATAAAGTTTATATTTTCTCAGCCCCCAGTTATTTCATATTAAAAAGTCAAATATCTCTTACGTTTCTTTACTACCTTAAAAGGGTTAATTTTTTCAAAATGATTAATTTAAAGTTAACATGGGTTAAATTGAAATTAAAAAGGATTAGTTGTAATAATTTTTTGTTAAAAAGTTAATTTGGTGTTTGTAAAAGGGTTCAATTGAAGGTAAAAAGGGTTATTTGCAATAAAAAAATAATAATTTGCAATTAGAAACGGTTAATTTTAAATTTAAAAAGTTAATTCTAAGTAAAACTATGTTTATTTGAAGTAAAAAAGTTAAATTGAAATAAAAAGCGGTAATTTTAAGATTGTGGAGGAAGGACAAAAAATATACACAGCCTGTAAAATTTTAATCCGATTTTTAAATAATTTTTTTTATTCGCAACTTAAGTTTTCTGTTCAGTCTGGATGCCCATTCTTTCGTGTAGACTGTGTAAATAATGTGAATGTATGTATGAGCGTAATAGCAGTGTATTTTGCGGCCTTAGAAAATCCCATAGCATTTTCCATAGAAATCTCTATACTCCGAAAATAATATAATTTATGTTTACTATCTTAATAAAACTTTTAACAAATTAAATTGTATATTAATAATTAATATTTTATGTTTCGAAGGGGGTGAATACAGTTTAATAACAATAAAAACAAAATTGCATTGAACAAACTGCAATATTATTTTTTATTGAATTCAAATAGTGATGAAATGAATATAATATGAAATATTATTTAAAAAATTGTCAATTTCATTATTTTTATGCTTTTGAATTTCATACAATGGGTACTTTTTCCAAAGTATAAACAATCGCGGATACATTTTGTATCTTTGTGATGATTACTTTGGCAAATTGAGTCGATTCGGATAAATAATCAATTATAAATTATTAAATTAATCCTAATTCTTAAAAATAAAAATTTGTGAAGTTTGATTGTTAATTAAATGAAAAAAAAATGTTTTTGAAGTTTGCTCTTGTAATGTTTAACTTCATTGCTATTGTTTCCCCACTATACCTAAATTAAATTTTACAGTGGGTCAGGCAAAACGTCCGAAAGGGTTTGAACATGAAAAAAAATCAGTATTTTAGAAAAAAAATCTCACCTGAGGCCTTTGTACGTAGGGCGAGTGTGTGGGCTGTACAGTGTTCCTGTCGATCTCTTCGCGGCTGTCGTCGTCGAGGGGGGAGGGCCTGAACCCTTGTGGTACTTGTGGACCTCCTTGGTACCTCTGAACAACTTGCCTTCCTCCCCCGAACGGGACTTGCCCATTGACAACCCCCGCCCCGCAACAAAACCCGATCAAACATAGCAATAGTGTCACCCTCATCCTGGAACATAAAACCTCAGGTCAACTATTTTCGTTTTTTTTTGTTTTTTGTTTGGAAAAGACACGTAAAAAATTCAATCAACTCGGCTCCTTCCTTAAAATTATTCTTTAAATTATTTAAAAAAATCCTCTATTTAAGAAGGGAACCTATGGAATGACACAAAACTCGCTAGAGTTGAATCAAAATTCAAAATCAACTTAATTTATACACTTTTATATATAAATATATAATAATTTATAATATATTATATATTTATATATATAATTTATATGCAGTGTATTTATTCAATAGTGTGAAAACCGGCGAAATTAAGCTTAGAGGAAACTTCTCGTTGGTCACGCGGGTCGGCTTATGGACGATTCTGTACCTTTTCTTCCTTCACTTTCACAGCACTATCCAGATACTCTCCTGGCAAGTTACCTCTGCTCGCTTTATATATCCGCCATCTTAACCTCAATCAATTCAGAAAGTTGCCTTTTGGTGGGGATCCAGCCCCACCAGCCCTTTAACCAAATGTACACATGGAGGTGTTTGCTCTGGCTCCGGGTGATCACAGTCCGTTTCACTCGAGTTATGTCACCTTGTTTTCCGTCGGAAATTCGATTTGCATCTACGATCGAGAATGCATATTTTACATAACCCCAGGTCCGATATGTGTCACTTGGCAAGACGAGAAAAACCAGGAAACACTTTTATTTATCTATCTGGCCTGTTCGATTTGTATGGACGTAACTAATCCCAAGAAAAGATATTAGCCCTTAATTTTATCGACATAAAGCCCAAGACTTACTTTTGTTTCGACGCATTACATTCTTAATTATAAATATAGCTATTTCCCGTCAACTTAAGCCTTATTAAGTTCAAATTAACATTTTCAAACGTCAAATTAACACGTTTTAATTACATGTTAACACAAGAAAACTTGCACCAATTTAACTTCAAATGAATTTTTTTTTTTCGGATCAAATCAAGCTGTTTTAGATTCAACCGTTTTGCAACTTCAAATTGACCCTTTTTAATTTCAAATTAACCTTTTATAATTACAAATTAGCCTTCTCTTTCGAACATTAAAACCTTTTTAATTTAAGATCAATTTAATTACAAATAATTGTGCTCTTATAGAAAAGACATATGAAAATCCTTTATGATTCGAATTAATACGTTTAAAATTCAAAGTAACATTTTTTTTGCACCAATTTAACTATTTTTAACTTCAAATGAATCTTTTTTTCGGATCAAATCAGGCTGTTTTAGATTCAACCGTTTTGTAACTTCAAATTGACCCTTTTTAATTTCAAATTAACCTTTTATAATTACAAATTAGCCTTCTCTTTCTAACAGTAAAACCTTTTTAATTTAAGATCAATTTAATTTCAAATAATTTGGCTCTTACAGAAAAGACATATGAAAATCCTCTATGATTCGAATTAACACGTTTAAAATGCAAAGTAAAATTTTTTTTGCACCAATTTAACTTTTTTTAACTTCAAATGAATCTTTTTTTCACATCAAATCAAGCTGTTCTAGGTTCAACCTTTTTGTAATTGACCAATCAAATTGACCCTTTTTAATTTCAAATTAACCTTTTATAATTACAAATTAGCCTTCTCTTTTTAACATTAAAAACTTTTAAATTTAAGATTATTGTAATTTCAAATAATTGGGCTCTTATAGAAAAGACATATGAAAATAAATCATTTATAATTCCAATTAACACGTTTAACATTCGATTTAGCATTTTTTTGCACCAATTTAACTGTTTTTATATCCAAATTAATCTTCTTTTCATCAAATTAAGCCGTTTTTTAATCTTTAAAGCTTGAAAAGCGTTTTAATTTGAGATTTTTTTATTTTAAATAATTTTTCGGCTCTTAATCAAAGACATATCTAAACTATTTAAAATAATTTAAATTAACTATTTTAATTTCAAATTAACACTTTTTTGCAACAATTTAATTCTTTTTAACTTTAAATTAACATTTTCGCATTAAATTAACCGTTTTTTAGTTTCAATTTCATCTTTTTTAACTTTTTTTAAAGCAAAATAACCCTATTTAGTTTTAACCGTTTTTAACATGAAATTATGACTTTTTAACTCGGTATTAACTGTTTGAATTATTAAAAACTAAGGTGTAGATTAGATACGAGTAGGCAGTTTTGAAGTGGTTGTAGAGGTGGGTTATGCTGGACATAGATCAGGCTTTTGACTTGGTGTGTGAGGAAAGTATTTTTATGAAATCTGGAAAATTAATTGTGGATTAATTTTTTGACTGCATAACAAGGTCATTGTGATGTGTTGCAAACGTACTAGAAATTGTTGACCGTGCTTTTGAGGATTTTGGATTGGAAGGACTACAATATTTTCTTAGGGGTGCCGTTCTTAATCTCGAATTAGTCCATTTTAACCTTAAATTAATACTTGTTCAATGCAAAGTAACCCTTTTTCTCTTAATATTTATTAAATTTCCATTAAACCTTTTTTTAACTGTTAAAAAAACAAACTTATAAGCAAGTAAAATAATACTCCGTCACTTGAAAAAAGAATTGCAATATAAAGTAATTTGACACTTAAAATCCATGAGAAAATTTATTATAATTAAAATTACAAATTATTTCCTACATTACCTTGTGGTCAAGAAATGTGTTAAATTTATGGGGGAAATGTTTATGCATGTACATACAGTGATAAGCAATTACATCAAAATAACAGTTTTTAATTTCAAACAAACTTTTTTATTTCAAATTTACGGTCATTTAACAGCAAATCAAGGTAATATGAAATGTAAATTAAAATGAATTTTTTATAATAAAAATTAATTGGGCTCTTAAAAGAACATACAATTAATTACAATTAAAATTGAAAATGATATACAATTTAGTATGAAACTAAAGCATTCTTATTTTATTTAGAAATTTAAAATAAAGCACTTATAAAGTGATATAAAATTAAATATTAAAACAAATGAATCATCTATTAATTAGAAATTTTCTTAAAATCTCAAATTTTCAGTCTATAAAATAAATATTTTATATTTAAAAATGAATAATTTGTTTTTATGTGTAATTTTAAACTTACAATTTTAGCTGTAATTATTGTTTATGTTGTATTTTAGATATGAATCAATTTCATATTTTTAATAAATTGTCAAATTAGAAGAAAACTTCTTTATTTTCATATGTAATTTAATATGCAAATGTAGAAGAATTTAATGTACTTATATTTCTACCGTCTACTAAAGATCCCGACTAAATTCTCCTCTCTCCTTGGTTCCTTCAACTACGACATAGCTGGGCTAGTCAGTATCCAGCCATCGGGCAAAATAAATGATCTCCAATTCATGTCTCTCTCACTCGCTCACTCTTTCACTCTTTCATTCACTCACTCACTCAATCTCTTTTTCTCTCTAACTCTCTCACTAAGTCATTCACTCACTCACGTTTTCTCTCAGCCTCAAATTCACTCAATTCCCCCCCCTCACTCACCCAGTCTTACTCACGCTTTCTCTTTCTCACTCGTTCACTCTTTCTTTCTCTCTCACTCTCCCTCTCACACAGTCACTCATTCGTTCACACACTTTTTCTCTCTCACTCACTTACTTTCTCTCACTCCATCTAACTCTCTCTCTCTCTCACTCTCATTTTCTGTCTCACTCACTCATTCCAATTTAGCAGTTACCTCATGTTTTAGAACGGCGTTCGCCCGTGTGTGATAAGAGGGGTCTACTTTAAAAACTAAAATGTCTCCTTCCAAATACTTTATACCTTCGCATTTACTTAGCGGAAGTTTCTTTTGAGTTCGTCAAGGATCGGACTACTCTGAGTACTGCTTACTGATAGAGGGAGTCTCACAGGGTAGTGTACTCGGATCAATACGGTTTTTCCATTATATGTCAGATATACCGCCTACAGCCTTCAATATCCTTGCTTCCTTTGCCTACGACATAGTCAACGTCCAGCCATGGGGTAATTGCAGAACCAACAAAATACCTTAAGAATACAGTCCTTCCAATACAAACTCCTTAAAATCACAGTCAATACTGTCTACTACGTTGCCAACACCATTCATCGAAATACTCTTCAAATGACATTCGTTAAAAAAAAAACAATCCCGATCAAAAATTCCAAAAATTATCTTCACACCCCAACCCGTGATGATAGCTTGATCCATATCTACTTCAAGCCACTTAAGGCTTTTTGTCAGGCCTAAAAGCTTTGCTAAAAGCTCCGTTTTTTGCCCTCCTCCTAGGAGTGGGATAGCCTGCATAGGAGTTAGTACCAACAACGGACATGTAGCTGTTCTGCTTTCCTTCTTCCTCCTGGCAATATCCGAAATAAGTTCGTGGCCGTTTCCTATGGATGGTGCGGATTATAATGTTGGAAACATATATAGGACCGTTAACTATTGTTTTTTGATTTTAGGGGAATGTTTACTCTCCTGTAGGATGCTAGGACAGGATAAATATATAAATAAAAGGTTCTTTGGGTGACATGAAACTATCGTTTGGAGAGAAACAATTTAAAATTGTGGTAATAGGTAGCGGAGTAGAAGTCAAACGGCACTTACTGAGTAGTCCCAGGTGCCATACCGGGTTCAACAGCTTGAGCTGTATACCGGAATACACCAGGGCTATACTGCTTTAGCTCTAGGCAGTAATGCCATCTACAACGCGAAGAGCCTGTTGAACTATCGAATTTTTCCATGGATCGGTAAAAAGTCGGTGATCCCACGCCTGTAGATCTTATACGTGAAAATTTTATTATTGAAAAGTAAATATGCCACTGTCAAAGAGAAAAAACTAAAACAATATGTTTGTTAGTAAGAAAATGGAACAAGTTGTGGAAGCGAAACGTGTCATTTCTTACATTTTCTACTTAATTTTCCTTCTGTTTCTGCTTGCAGAATTCAACATGGGAACGGCCGTTTGAGGGAAAAACATTACAAGACGCAATGCGAAACATCTGTTAATGAGAAAAAACGAAAAGAAAACGAATTACGAGGAGGTTTTGATGAAAAATCTCCGCGTTCCGCCTCCTGGTTCTGCGTCGAGTGAGACTCCGAGATTCAGCCACCGGCAGTTGACTTTCACGCATCCGACTCACACACTTTCGTCTACCGTTTCGCCGAGTTTGTACCGTTTCACTTCGAACCTTCAACCGGTGCAAAATTCGACGGTTCGACAGACACACCTCGCCACTTAGAATTCACAACTAATTGTAAAGAGAAAAGAAAAGAACGAAATTTCCCACAGGTTTTGTTTCAGTTTACTCTCAAGGTTTCCAATCAGTTTATAAAAGTCTGCTAAGGATAACCAAAGTGAACTGGATAGTATCAACGTCCAAGTTAAAGCCAAAGCTCCACTTACATCGACTCCATATTAACTGATCTCTTCAAAGCCAAAACCATCAGGAAAATTCTCGACAAGTAGATGGGTCAATTGTACAAAAGGTACGTATTCTACGTATGAGGTT